AAATACAAACTAAATTGAAAATTGGATGCATTATTTTTAATACACATCCAAAAAGTCAGTTTTCAATCAAAAGTCTTCCACAAAGACATCTCTTCCCTTTGGCCCTTGCATGATTTACCATATTGAAAATACTTAGCCAGATCTATGTGTTGAATTACAAATATTTTAATATGCATAATTGTATATTTACATTTAGCCATTAAGTAGCACAATTTTGACTCAAAACACATTTTTAGATACATTTATTATCAAACTTAATTTTCCAATAAATATGTTTTGGCAGCATATTCAGTACTTCTCTCAGAAATTTTATCCAATTTACTAGTTCTCTGATTATATAATGAATAATTATGTATTTCACATTTAAATATTAACCTCACTGTAATTAGGCAGCAATCTTAATTGCCTTAGTCTGCATACCAAGATTGCATCATTTTTTGATGAAGTGCAGAAGAATCACCCACTTATTTGTTTGGTGCTTTTTACAAGAGTAAGAAGAATCGGATTTTTGTCAATTTTCTTTGACTTTTTAAATGAAAATAGGTCGATGTGTACAAAGTCAAGGGAGTGCGCAAAGCCATTTTTATGCAATTCTGGGATGTTTTTTTAAGCGAAAATAAGTCAATGTGTACATGGATACCGAGTCTGTGCAATTCTTAAAAACGCGCCAAGCAGTGGGTGATTCTGCACTTTCCACCATTTTTTGAAACAGTTAAAACAACTAACTTCTCTAAATTCACAAACATTCTGAAATTTACACATTGCAAAGAAATCCAAAATGTAACAATATGAAAACCATATTGAAATACCATTTAATAATATCAATGAATTTTTTTTTTTTTTTTGGCCTTGAAACTGTTTTAATATTAACAGATCACTACTCATTTTATTAGAGATAAGATAAAGAAATAAAAATTGGTTCTATTTCATTCAACAGTATATTTACTGGATAAAATAGACTTTTCATTCATAATTTTGTATTATGTTCATTCATCGGTTAATCTTTGGATTATGGTAACTTGGTGATTATTTGGCGACCAACCCTGCTACAGCAACCTGCTAGTTTTTGTTTGGACGCCATTTTGTTTTCACGAAGTAAAGGCATTTTTTTTTTTTTTTTTTTACTTAACATTTTTTTCCAACAATCTGCTAGCCGAGTAACGCTTATGCTAGAACTTTAATGGAACAAAAGTGCTTAATAATGACGAAGATTAGGTGTAAAATTGGGACAAAGTGAAGAATCGTCCACTGCTTATCGCGTTTTTAAGAATTCCACATACACGGTATCATCCATGTACACGTCGACCTATTTTCACTTAAAACAAATCACAGAATTACACAAAAATGGCATTGCGCACATTCTTGACTTTATCCATGTACACTGCTAAAGTCCTAGCTAGTAACCTTTATTGCCTTACCAGAATGTCGCCAAACTACCTGTTACCATATTCCAAAGATTAGGCCATTTATCAATTAAACATGTTGCTAAATAAAATTTAAGAAAAGAGAGAGAGAACTTTAGTTTTATATTTTTTCCTTTCAACTCTGTTAATTACTGATCAAGAAATAAGATATGTTTCATATACAGCTGAAGGATACATAATGAATTACAGTCAAAAGTCGTTAATCCAGACTCGTCGGGACTTCGGCAATTCCGGATTACCGATTTTTTCGGATTATAGATCATCAGTTTAAATCTGGTAAGATGGCATGAAAAAATTATAAAATTAAAAATATGAAACCGTAATTTATGAAATAAAGAACAATTATGATCTAAAAAGTATCAAAATTTACAAAAAACAAGCTTAATATTTATTTCTTTGCTTTACTTTCTTCGCTATCCGAAGCGAATTATAATGACGAGGAATTTGATTTAAATTATATCAAAGACGGAATACATCGAGATGAAATACTACGTTTAGTAAGAATTATAAGCCAAATAAAGTAAAAACATCTGCCTGAAGATAAGAATAGTGCTGACAGATCAACTTCCAATTCATTGCGCGCCGCGGCGTCCCTCCGCAGCAGATGCGAAATTGATAAACAGATTTCGGAATGGTTAGATAAACAAAGGATATGCCTTTAACCATTTTTTGCGGCAATTCCACTTTTTGTTTAATGGACTTCAAAACATACTTTCGCTTTGTAGATCCTTTACATATTAGTAAATATATATCGAAAATTCTATTTGACATAATCGAAAGTTCAAGCTTACTTTTATAAAATTGGTCTAATAGTCTGCAAAAAAATAATAAGCCGGATCCAATTCAAAGATTAAGGAACAACGCAATCTGCAACATTAACTGAATTAGATAATTTTAGCTTAGCTTATACCTTCCGTTATACATTAAACGCGCATGCGTAAACGTATTTTGGGCACGCGCACACACATATTCGCAGCCGTAAAGTTCTTACGCGCATGCGTCAAAGCGACGCATGCGCAGAAAGTTTGTAGCTTTGAGGTCCGGATTATAGATCATTCCGGATTATGGGTGACTGAATTAACGACTTTTGACTGTACTTACAATATTTTTCAAAAATTAGTATATCTTATGTGCAAATATTTTTTGACGTTTTCTCTCATGGAAAATGTTGTTATGCACTGGATAAGTTTCAACCAGATTTTCATTTAAAGATAAGAACAGTTTTTGCTCTTCCAATATTTGTATTTCTACTTTTAAAGTGTTATATTTTCTGCTTAATAATTATTCCACCATTCAACTTCAAAACATATTCTTCTTTACAGGTTAGAAATTTATAAAACAAATTCATAATCAAAATTGCTCATCCAGGTTACTTAATGGTAAATAAAATGTGTGAAAAGGCCACTATGCAAACTGCTATTACCCATCAAGCCATGAATGTTTCTTTCATGAGGAAGTCTCCCTGCTTTTCAATTTCTGAAGAATTGCCATGTTTGGAAGTACTACCAAACTACTCTCAAGGTAACATGCTCTGGATGTAAACAAAAGTGACACCTCCCTTTCGGCTTCCAAAGCTCAGAAGCATTGTGTCAGTCATAGTAGCAGAAAGGTACCTACTCCTGTTCCTTTCTCTATGGCCATCTTATTATGACTACGACAACCAGTGTCAAAATTGTTTAGTTAGACTAGATATATGCTACTTTTAAGTTTTCCTCTCACAGGAAGTCTTTTCACATACCATGAATAATGTTACTTTGAGTGTGTATTACAATTTGAGTGTGTAGCATGGCCATATTTTAGGTCACAATATTTTTTGTTATTTGGTACATATTAACTTCTAATTTAAAATATTTTGCCTTCTACTTTCTTTAATGATATAAATACAGTACAAAGTCCGAAATCCAGACTCATCGGGACTTCGGTGATTCCGGATTTGGAATTTTTCCAGATATTAGATCATCAATTTAAATCTGGTAAGTTAGCATGCAGAAATTATACAATCAAAAATATAAAATCATAATTTATGAAATAAAGAACAATTATGATATAAATGATATCAAATTTACAAAAAAAAAAAAAAAAAAAAAAAAAAAAAAAAAAAGCTTAATATTCGTCTGTTTACTTTATTAAACATTTCTTTCAATGTAAGTTGTTTAAGTTGCTTCCATAAAAAATTCAAAAAGTTCCTTTTTCTTATGTCATATACAGTTGACTTTCCAATTTGATACTTCCTTGCATAATTTTGAGACAGATATGCTTTATCCATTTTTTTTGAGCAATTTCCCTTTTTGTTTAAAGGACATCGAAACATGGTTTCGCTTTGTAGATCCTTTGGCAGCTCCAGAATTGGAAATTCTTTTCGACATAATTGAAAGTTCAAGCTTAGTTTTTATAAAATAGCCGTAAAAATAACAATCTGCAAAAAATAATAAGTTGGATCAAATTGAAAGATTAGGGAGCAGTGCAGTCTGCTACATTAACTGAAATGCTTTAGAATCAGTAAAGATAATTTTTAGCTTAGCTTAATTGCATCCGTTATATGTTATTGGCCGTGTATCACAAGATTGGCGATGAAAGCCAAGTTGTTTACCTAAATTTTGTCTTTCTCCTATTGCATACTGAATTAAACCTGAATTGTATTAGTTTAGTTATTTACTATACCTATGTTTATTTCTTGCGCATGCTTAAAACTGAGTCCTGAATAAATTAATTCCCACATATACTTATACACACATATAATATATCCCACATATACCTAGGGCCGGTGTTTAGATACCACCTGGTGCAGTGTCTACGAGTCCTAAATTCTGCTACAAAGCACCTTCCTAAGTTCTAAGTTTTCACCGTGCCTAAACTTTGGATCCCAGTGGTTTCCCTAAATCATACAAAAACTTCTCATCCCTTAATTTTGCTGCTTGATGCTTCTCCAAATCCCAAAAATTTCATCTTAACTTAATTCTGCTCTCCGGTGCCAACATATTCTGCCGCCGCTTCTGGTTTTATGGTGAATAACATATCAGTTATTTTTAATTAAAATAGCACTAAATGTAATCTTTTGGCCTATGAGTTTCATTAACAAAATCTATTTTACAAAAAGAAATTTTTGTTGAATTTTTCCTCGTCAACATTTCTTAGAGAATTTAAAAATCTATAATCATAGCCAAGCACAATGTTAGCATAAAAGGTTGCCATACTCTTGTTATTCAATTACTAACATATAAAAAAGTTTAGACATCATTGCATGAGTTATTACTGAAGCTGTCATGTATTAATAAACATGTGGTATTGAAAGCAAAATATAATAAATAATGACTGGCCAGGTTGGCGTCAGAGAAATAAAATATGTGAATGTTTTGGTTAGAGATGTAGATACTCAGCTATGGAGGAAAATTATTAATCTCAGAAATTTATGCTTACATGATTGTTTTTCCATAACAAGGTATTTTATTTAGTGCCTAAGTGAAATTAAGAATCGGAATTTTTAACTGAAAATCTCCACATGTTTAATTATGGAAGGAAAAATGAAATGCATATACGTAAAGCATACAGAAAAAAAAAAAAAAAAAACCCATGGCGCCTTTGAGGTTTGAATTTTAGATCATTCCAGATTTTGGACTTTGTACTGTATCGTCTTAATAAAAGAAAGTTTATGAAAATAAAGAGTAAAATAACTTACTGTATAAATTTATCTAATTAATGCTGCTTGAATATAACTCTTAATGTGCAGATGTAAAATTGCATGGCACTCACACAGCAGCAATAAAAATGACTTCTGATTTCTATTACATACATGAATTTTTCTTGTAGAAACAAATAAACAGCTAACTGGTATTTACATCAAATTATCAGTGTGAAAAAGTACATGTTTTCTTAAACTACCCTTGTCTCTAAATGCCTTACTACATATATCACACACATGAGGTTTTTCTCCAGTGTGAGTAAGTAAGTGTCTCTTTAAAATACCTTTATACCTAAATGACTTGTTACATAACTCACATTGATATGGTTTTTCACCAGTATGAATAAGCACATGCTTGTTTAAATTACCCTTTTCTCTGAATGACTTTTTACATATCTCACATACATGTGGTTTCTCTCCTTTGTGAAGAAGCATATGCCTGTTTAACACACCCTTTTGTCCAAATGACTTGTGACATACCTTACACTCATGAAGTACACGAGGTTTATCTCCTGTGTGAACAAACATATGTCTCTTTAAAGCACGCTTTTGTCTAAATGATTTTTTACACACTAGACATAAATACAGTTTCTCTTCAATGTGGATAAGCATATGTTCATTTAAAACACCCTTTTCATTAAATGACATTTTACATACTTCACAGGCATTAGGTTTCTCTCCAGTATGAATAAACATATGGTTGCTTAACTGGCACCTCTGTCTAAATGACTTGTCACATACTTCACACACATGAAGCTTCCCTCCAGTGTGGGAAGTTCCCTCCATATGCTTGTTTAAACCCCGCTTTTCTGTAAATGACATTTTACATACTTCACAAACATGAGGTTTCTCTCCAGTGTGACATATATGACTTTAAACTAATTTGTGAGTAAATGACATATACATTACACACATGAGGCTTTTCTCCGTTGTGAATCAATATGTTTGTTCAACTGGCTCTTTTCTCTAAACGATTTGTTACATACCTCACACATATGAGGTTTTTCTCCAGTGTGGATAAGAATATGCTTGTTTAAAACACATTTATCTCTAAATGACTTGTTACATAACTCACACACATATGGTTTTTCACCTGTATGAATAAGCATATGCTTGTTTAAATTACCCTTTTCAGTAAATGACTTTTTACATACCTCACAAACATGAGGTTTCTCTCCAGTGTGAATAAGCATATGTTTGTTTAAGTGACTCTTTACTCTAAACGATTTGTTACATACCTCACACATATGAGGTTTTTCTCCAGTGTGGATAAGAATATGCTTCTTTAAAACATAACTATCTCTAAATGACTTGTTACATAACTCACATACATATGGTGTTTCACCTGTATGAATAAGCATATGCTTGTTTAAGTTAACTTTTTCAATAAATGACTTTTTACATACCTCACATATGTGCGAATTCGCTTCTCTGTGAAGAAACATATGAATGTTTAATACACCCTTTTGTGCAAATGACTTTTGACATACATTGCACTCATGAAGTTTCTCTCCAGTATGGATAAACATATGATTTTTTAAATCAAACTTTTCTCTAAATGAGACTTCACATATATTACATACATGAGATTTCTCTCCTGTGTGAATAAGCATATGTCTCTTTAAAGCATGGTTTCCTCTGATTTTTCACACACTTGACATAAATATAGTTTCTCTCCTGTGTGCATATGTTCCTTTAAAATACCTGTAATGCCCATAACCCGAGAAGGAGAAGGAAAAGCCTAGCCAGCGAAATAATTAGTCCGACGGAGGAGGTGGTTCGTTGGACCAAGGCCAACTTATACTCAAGGCCTGCCAGTGTGAAAATATTCTTTTGTGTTTTCGGTTGCCTGCGTGATATTCCTACTGACCGCAAGATGGCGCTACAATTCTGCTACACTTTGCGATGTTTACAAAGATCGGAAAAGTACCAAAAACGAATTCTGTCTTGTTATATGCAAAGTTTAAAAACGATTAATCCATAGTAGTCAGAAATTGTTGATTTCTTATTAGTAAAAATATTTTAATTAGAAGGAAAGCATGGAATTTTAAGCTATCTCACCTTTTTTTTTTTTTTTTCACACATAAACACCAGCTATTTGATCTCGATTTTAATTCCTGCTTTGATCTAGACATGCGCTATTCTGAATTGTACGCATTACAACTACTTATTCTAATTTAAAGGTAATTCAGAGTATACACCTTATTTTTTAATTATGTATATAGTAAGAAGTTAACAGATAGCTTCAGATCATGTACTATTTCAGTGAAAAATTTTCAAAATATTTCTATCGGCTGTACTGGGCCAAAAAATAATTTAGTATCCCCTATCAAAGATGTAATTAACATATTAATACACCGTGATCTAAAATTTGTATATCTGTTTCCACGACATTGGAGTAAAAATATTACTTAAAGAGATTAAAGTAAGAATATTACTTAAAGAGATTAAATTTTACATACTGAAGAATTTTTTTTAATTATTAAATAACTGTTTTTAGGAAATCTTAAACAATAAAAGTTTAAATAATGCAGATTTTGATCTCTGTGCAGTATTTGCATTGCAGATATTCAAAGACATTATAAAATTATTAGTCAAAAAAAAAAAAAAAAAAAAAAAAAAAGGGGGGTCTTACTGTGGCATAGATTTTGAATGAAACTCAAACCCAAAGTTGCTTTTTTGACTAATTTTAATATTACACAGGTGTGTTTCTCTTCACTTTCATTTGTATTCTAAATTTCATTGATGTTAACATTAAGAAACTAGTAACTGAATTAAGTGCACTGCATCAATTTACATTTTCATTGTTAGAGAAACTTCAATTTTTCAAATGAATATAATGAAATTTTTGATAAAGCTATTGATCAAATCAATCTGTTTGTTATAAATAAAAGAGACACAGGCATTATAAAATATATTTTAACAGCACACAAAAAAATAATAACTCTCATAATCACAATATATACTTAAGAAAAGTTCAGTTCTGTATATCAAGGATAAAATTTGAAAACTTGCAATGGCTGAATATAAATAATATATCCATCACACATGCCCACAATGCTAAGTAGAATGAGGTATATACACAATTTTAGATATATATGCATTTAAAGTTAGGCAAAAAAAAAAGCTTATTAAATGCATCACTTAAATATACAGCAGGTAGACATTTTTTACACACATACAACATTTATCAGAATGACATGTGTACAAAATTTTATTTACAAAATTTATTTATTTACACGCTGGCAGCGTGAGATACTGATATAGTTCATTATCAAGAATAATGTATACATGAAATAAAATTACTGAATTTCACAAAACAATATTATCACTATTAAGCACACATACACATAAGTGCCATCTTGATACATTACCTACATGACATAAATCCATGTGTAGCATTCCCATTCCAGATTAATCAGAAGATGATTAATAGTATAATAATAAGATAATAATAAATTCCACACAAAGTTTTGAAAATAACAGCATTAGATGCAGAAAGATTTCAGAATTAAATAAGCAGAATGAGGAATTTCAGAACTGAGTTCGATGAGGTATATACACAATTTTAAACCTATATGCATATAAAGTTAGGCAAAAAAACAAGCTTATTAAGTATAGCCCTTAAATATACAGCAGCTAGACATTTTTTACACATATACAACATTAATCAGAATGACATGTGTACAAAATTTTATGGCTGGCAGCGTGAGATACTGATATAGTTCATTATCAAGAATAATGTATACATGAAATAAAATGACAGGTATATACAAAATTTTAAACCTATATGCATATAAAGTTAGGCAAAAAAAACAAGCTTATTAAGTATAGTCCTTACATATACAGCAGCTAGACATTTTTACACACATACAACATTAATCAGAATGACATGTGTACAAAATTTTATGGCTGGCAGCGTGAGATACTGATATAGTTCATTATCAAGAAAAATGTATACATGAAATAAAATTACTGAATTTCACAAAACAATATTATCACTATTAAGCACACATATACATGAGTGCCATCTTGATACATTACCTACATGTAACTAGCTGACATAAATCCATGTGTATTATTCCCATTCCAGATTAATCAGAAGAAAGTTACAAACAAAGTTTTGAAAATAACAGCATTAGATGCACAAAGATTTCAGAATTAAATAAGCAGAATGAGGAATTTCAGAACTGAGTTCAATGATGTATATACACAATTTTAAACCTATATGCATATAAAGTTACGCAAAAAACCCAAGCTCGTTAAGTATAGCCATTAAATATACAGCAGCTAGCCATAAAATACACTTTTTGTTAATAACGAACCACGTTACAAATAGTGAGCGTATAGCAAAATTGTAGCAGAATGCGAGCGCCACCTAGTGATTAATTTTGCGAAAGCCACTGAAAACTGGGAACCGGAATTTCGTTCAGTCTGGCAGGCCTTGAGTATAAGTTGGCCTTGGTTGGACGGAAGGAGAAAGGACGAACAAAAAGACGAGGGGGGCGAAGAGGACTTTGCACCCTGGTTGTCGGACGGGACGGTCCGATTTTTTTTGGCGGGAAAGAGAATCGCCATTTTCTTTTCGTGATGCAGAGATTGTTTTTCTCATCCGGCGGAGACCAATGCCGGACTTACCTATTCATGCTTGTACATATAATGTATAATAATCAAGAATTGTTTACTTATTAAAGTTTATTGTTAAACAAACAAAAAATGGGTGTCATCTATGTGTCGATCTACGATGACATGTGTGAAGCAACTGAACCCTACGCTACGGTTTAACACAACGATGCTTATCTGTCTCGGCACGACTACAACAGTCAACTACAACACCCTTTCCTGTAAATGACATTTTACATACATCACATATATGAGGTTTCTCTCCAGTACGAGGTTTTTCTTCATTGTGAAGAAGCAAATTATTGTTTACTTCATTCTTTACTGTAAGTGATTTGTTATATACTTCATACACATGAGGTTCCTGATCTGTATGAATAAACATGTTTGTTTATATTGTATATATTATTTTAATGTTTGTTATCCTTAATTGATTACTAATGTCACACACATGGCTTCTCTCATGCACTCTTTCAGGGTTTTTTTTTTTTCAAAATGATTTGCTACACAACTCACAGACATTAAATTTCTTCCCTGTATAAATAACTGTTTGCTGACAACCTAGATATAACTAGCTACACACCTTACAATGTTGTTCAGGTACTGTAAAATGTGCAAAGAAATTTTATTCAAAGTAATCTTAAATGCGTTTTGTATATTGCCGAAATATACATTTTTAGTACAATATTAGTTCATTACGAACATATGCTATCGTTTCCGGGAACATTTTATTATTTAAAATTAATTTTTTTTACGTTCAGTAAAAATATGATTTGTTACTCGAGACACCTTTGACAACGAATTTATGCAGTTATGTCATATACTAGATAGCGATTACATGAATTCAAATTTTTGAGAACCTTTTTAACCGACGAGTTACAGTTCCACAAAGTTAGTTATCTGAAATTTCTAAACAGTTTCGACATTTCACTGTACACAATATGCAAAGTATTTTATTGTAGAGAAAGAAGTCTTAGTATTTTCCCTTGCTTCAATATGTACATAACAAGATATAAAAAAGTACACCCCAATTATTTCGCAAACTAGCTTCACAGCATGTATAAAACTCTTAGGATCATAATCAAATCTTCCGGCGTTATGGGCATTTTAATGTGCGCATAAACTGTGGCCGGGCTCTTGGGGAAATCATTCTGTTATCCAGATCAAATGCCACGTGATTTTGGAAATCCGTATTAAGTGATGATAATGGTCCAAATGACGTTTGTCACTTTTACGGGAAGAATACTCTTGAAAAATTCTAGACTGCCAAAGTTGACATATGTCTTCTTTTGCACTCACTAAGTCTCTCTGCCCGACGGCGAAAAATTAAGCTTAGGTTTATCCCTTCTACTTTTGCGCCGATGCTATTCGCACCAACATTAACTACGCATGCGCATTGAGTTCTCAGATACGTCATTTGAACATTCCGAGGTGGGACAGCATTCGAGATAGGCGTCTTATCGCTTCGCTCTCCGTTTCCTTGCGTTGCTACCAACCCCGCTACTGTACCGAGTTCATCGACCTCGCCACACGGGCTCTGGGTCATTTTTCTCTTAGGCTTTCGCCTCGCAGAAGCGTCGCCTTAACTTCACTGCTGCACCCTTCGCTGGATAAAACAAGTCGTATTTTATTCTTTCTTCTGATTTTCTTTATTCACCGTGCTGATAAGGGTACCTTCGGGTACGGCCTCTAGTTAGGCCTTTTTTCCAACTTATTTGCCTCACATGATTAATCAATATGACACAACAAACATAACTGTAACTAATAATAACACAAACATGGAAAATTCACCTCCAAACTCAGAAAATCCTCACATGAGACATCTCAATGATGAACCCAACGTTCTCCAAATATTAAGTCACAAAATTACTTTATCCAATGACGTCGAAACTACCAGATCCTTGGTGGAAGATATCCAAGATATCCGTAACGACCCAAATGTGATTATGTCCTGCGTAATGCGTAAAAGCAAAACGAGATGGGCCAATGCAAAAATAAACGAATTACAAACCTCTAACGAAAAACTCGCTAAACAATTTGAAGAGATTAAAAACTTCTGCGACATACTTCAATCCACTAGTGGTTTCAAAGAACAAAGAAAAAGAAAATTGCGCCATAGACAAACGGATTCTGACTCCGATGAGGAGCCTTTCCCTCA